AAATGGAATCGTTTCTCTAATTTCTCTTTCTACAGTTGCATTGTTAGTGTATAAGAAAACAACTGATTTCTGTACATTGATTTTGTTTCCTGCCACATTGCTGAATTGCTGTAGGAGTTCTAGTAATTTGGGGGTGGAGCCTTTTGGGTTTTCCACATAATGTATCCAAAAAACAAGAGCCCAAGGCCTGATAGATTCCTTGGGGAAATCTACCAAACGTTCAAAGAAGAAATAATACCTATTCTACTGAAGCTGTTTCAAAAAATAGAAACAGAAGGAAAGCTTCCAGACTCATTCTATGAGGCCAGCATTACCTTAATCCCCAAACCAAGCAAAGACCCCATCAAAAAGGAGAATTTCAGACCGATATCGCTGATGAATATGGATTCCAAAATCCTCAACAAAATCCTAGCTAATAGGATCCAGCAATACATTAAAAGGATCATCCACCACGACCAAGTGGGATTTATTCCCGGGATGCAAGGGTGGTTCAACATTCGCAAATCAATCAATGTGATAGAATCCATCTTGTTTGTTTAGGAAAGTAGTTGTCATGGTTAAATTTCATGTCAACTTAGCCAGACTATGGTGCCTGGTTGTTCTGCCAACATTAGTCTAGATGTCTCTTTTGGGTATTTTATACATGTGATTCACATCTAGGGTAAACTGACTTAAGTACAGGAGATTACCCTCCATAATATGGGTGGGCCTCATCCAATTAGTTGCAGGCCTTATAAGTTTCAGAGCAAAAACTGAGGTTTCCTTAAGATGAAGGAATTCTGCCTCAAGACTGAAACCCTGCCTGAGTTTCCAGCCTACCAGTGTGCCCTACAAATTTTAGGCTTGTCAGCCCCCACAATCGATGAGGTAATTCCTTAAAATACGTCTCTTTACATATATATCCTATTGGTTCTGTATCCCTAGAGAACCCTGACTAAGGCCATATCTTTAAAAACACAAGGATATAAGGCCAGAAGAGGGCATGGCAGTGGGGACAGTGATACAGTGTCTCTGAGCAAATTTTTTCTATACCTGGGGCTCAGATGTCACATTCTCACTGAGCAGCATGGCTGGTAGGCAAGAAAAACAGGTGTCTGGTGAATACTTAACAATTTTATAAATTTGTCTGCCACTGACACATAATTTCAGCAGTATCTAATGGGAGGGCTGTCCCCAAAGATGGTGGACACACCTACTAAGTCTAAGTGGGACTGTTCTTTTTTTAAAAAAATTAAATGTGTAACTTATTTTATTCTATTTATTTATTTATATTTTATTTTCATTGAAGTATAGTTGGCATATTATGTTATATAGTTTCAGATGTGCAACATAGTAATTGCATAATTATATATATTACACACTGCTTACCACAATAAGTGTAACTACCATCTGTCACCAGAGAGCTATTACAATATTATTACTTTATACTATGCTATACTTTTCATCCCCGTGAATTATTTGTTTTATAACTGGAAGTTTGTACCTCTTCATCCTCTTCACTTATTTTGCCCAGGCCCCCCAGCCCCCGCTCCTTTGGCCACCCCGTTTGTCCTCTGTATTTATGAGTCTCCTTCTGTTTTTGCTGTTGCTGTTTGTTTGCTTTTTTTGCTTTTTAGATTCCTGGGTGGGGCTTTTCTGATCCACCTGGGTTCCATGACAAACTCACTTAAGTCCTGGGCTTCCAGGCAAGATGATGATAACTATAGTTAGGTAACATGTCAGGCACTTTGCAAATGCTTTAAAACATGTTCTCTCTTTTAACTTAAAAAGCCAGGCTTTATTTTTTAGAGCATTTTTAGATTTACAGAAAGATCGAGCATAAAGGACAGAGTTCACCACATATCACCCCTCCCCACAGTTTCCAGTGTTATTAGCATCTTGCATTAGTGTGGTACATTTGTTACAACTGATGAGCCCCTATTGATACACTATTATTAACAAAAGTCCAGAGTTTACCTTAGGGTTCACTCTCTGTGTCCTAAAGTTCCATGGCTTTGGACAAAGGTATACTACAGTATCCTACAGAATAGTTTCTCTGCTCTTAAAATCCCCTATGCTCTACCTCTCCCTGTCTCATCTACTTTCTAAACAAGGTTATGAGGTGGGATTTCATAGGCCCTGTGACAGCTGAGCACTAGAGCCCTTGTCTCCTTCTCTATAGATAGAGGGTCAGTTATGTCTACTGCAGGCATCGCTGTGAGTCTTCAGGGGGATAGCACACGCAAAAGCCCGAAAACGATAGCTATGATTTGAGTGTATGTGGAATTTGGTATAAACTCTGAATGATCAGACTTGTCTGCTTATGTGGCCAGAATAAGATTGTCCCTCTTCAGACCAGGATTGGTTTTACCTCTTAGTGCATGGGAGGAGTAGCCATAGTCCTGGAAGAAGCAGAAAATTTAGGATTAGTCTGTTAATAATGGCTAGATGGAGCAGAAAGAGGGCTTCAGGACAGGCTGGCCCCAGCAGTCCCTTGTTTCCTCTCAGGACCCCAGGGCTCTCAGCAGCTGAGATAGAGTGTAGCCAACGTGGAAAGCAACCTGCCTGCCTTGGGCAGTGGCTTCAGTGCTGGTCCTGGTGGTGGTGGGTGGGGAGCAGGTGAGCAGGGAGAGGCGGGTCTGGGCCGGGTGAATCTTGAGACTCCAGGGCCCTGGTGCCGTGTGCCTGGGAGAGCATGTCACTGAAGAGGAAGTCTGTTCCCACCTGTAGACTGCTGAGATGGCCCCTGACATCCTGTCTAGCTGGTGCCTTTCTCCTAGGTGTGGGTCCCAAGCCTCAGAAGCTTCCTGGGTCCCTCTACCAACCTGAAAGAAGCCTCATCACTCATGGCAACTCTGGCCTCATGGCTTCACCACCTCGACCGTGGCCTCCAGACTGCACTTGGCCTGTGCCTGTGTCTTTCGTGGGCCCACAGCTGGGTGAAGCCCCATACCCACCTCTCTCATCTTCTCAAGTCATGTTATGCATGAGGTGTTTGGACAGGAGTCAAGCTTGAGAGTTCTGTGAGGGCAGAGGTGGTGTGTCTGTTCACACTCTGCAGCCTTTATACACCGCAGTGCAGAGGCTTTTCACCAGGAAGATGTGGGGGCTTCTAAAAGTCACCTGAGGGGCTTCTGAAAATGGTGCATGCCTTCTACCCCACCCCAAGGCCCCAGCCGGAGATTAGGATGCAGTAGGTCAGGCAGTGACTAGGGTGTTTGAGCATCTTTATTATGAAAATATTCCCTGGGCCACTCTGGTGCACCCAGGCTGGGGCTCACTGCTATGGCATCTCAGTCTGACTGTGCTGTGGCCCTGGGGAGGGGGTGTGAGGGTCCTCATGCTGCAGGGCAGGATGTCCTGGAGAAGCCCACAAGGGAGGGGAGTGCCCTTGTCATGTGAAGTCTTTTCCCTTTTCCAGAAACTTTGCCTTTCCTTTCCCACCCTGCCACGCTTGCTTGGGAGGCCTGGCCTGCAGTGTTTGGGGATGAGGTAATGGTCAAGGAGAGAGCTATGGGCACGGGGCTTGGGTTGCCTGGCCAGACTCGGGAGGGTGGGGCAGGAGCTCACGTCGGCTTAGTTATTCCAGGAGAGTCTGCTTTCCGAAAGGAAAAAGAACCACGCAAATGAGTCTGGCGCCCTCCTGAAGGTCTTTAATAGGCTCCCTCTGACTGGGAGCACTGGCTCCCCGCCTTCTGCTCCCACCTGGGGCCAAGAAGTCCCCCAAAGAGACAATCTGAGCCTGTGCAGGCAGCCTCATAAATGCACACTCAGGAACTGCCTTGCTGGCAGTTCCTGGAGCAGAGCCTGCCGGGGTCAGCAGATCCAGACCTCCACACCTGCGCATGCTTCGACCCTCTGCCTGCCTGGGCCACGGCAGGACCAAGGAGGTGCCCTCCGTTACAGGGTAGAAGTGTCTCAAGTCTTTCTTAATTTAAAGGAATTGGACCTTTCTTTTCTAGAAGAAGAAATTAAGAGTCATTTGAATCCATATAGAAAAAGAATCACTTTTGATTTTTTAAATGGAAAATGTGAAACAATGAGAATGGATTCAAGAGCCATTTATAGATGAACTGGTTTTATGGGGTGGGGGGACAAGGGAGAGCAGAAGGAGAGTGATGAGGGATGGTACAGAGAAGGAGTTGGGCCCAGGGGAGGGACACAAGTTGGCTGGCAGAAGCTGAAAATTTCTTCTTTGCTAGACTTTTATCCAATATTGGATAATCATTGCCTTTAGCTCTCAGGGGGCCACACCCCCATGCTATACCAGACCAGCATGATTACCTCATACTGTAGTGCATAGCAAGAGTGGAAAGATGAATAACATCGCTTGAAAGTGGCAAAAGAGATTCTTTCTGTTGGTTATAAAGGTGGGAAAATCCATACCAATCATCTCACTGAAAATAACCACCAGACAATTAAATGACATTTAAAAATTTTCTCAAAAGCATTAAAGAGCTAATGACAAATGAGGAATTAGTGGGTTAAGATTCAGGAGAAGATGAAAATCCAGAGAAGATGTTGGCACTGGGACTGCTTTTGACCAAGGGGCAATTGAGAATCTGAAATATGGTTATGAGAGTAAGCAGCACCTTTCCAGTCCTGGGAGATGAGGGGACGTGAGGTTGGAGCCCCAAGCCCACCAAGATATAACCTGCTATGCTTTGGTCTCAGTCTCAGCAGAGCTTTTCATCCTAGAGGTAAGGGTGAAACAGAAGTAAAACAGACCTCTCATGAACTTTGGCCTAGTTCTGGGTCATCTGGGTGACCAAGAAATCTTATGTCCTGAAGTAGGAATTAAGAGTAATGAATTGATAGTGTCTTGAGACTTGGCAGAAGCAAATAAAAATTAAATCTAAAAAGTAACATCAATTTAGACTTCAAAATATTTCTACCAATAATTTAAAAAATACAATGTCAAGCACATAGTTAAAAAATTCCAACAAGACAAAAAACTAGGTACATGAAGACAGACACTCACCTGAGAAAGAACCAGTGAAAACAAGAAATAACACACACACCCATAAGAATATCAGATATGGGAATTATCAGTGAGAGACTGTATAACAACTATGCTTACTATTTTTAAAAAGAGAAAGGATAAGTTTGAAAAATTTGTCAGATTATTGGAAACCATAAAAAGTGCAAAGCAGATTTAAATAAAAACAAATAAACTCTAGAACAAAAATCTTATAACTTAATTAAAACTCAATGTATAGGACTCCTGGGTGGCTCAGTTGGTTAAGCGACTGCCTTCGGCTCAGGTCATGATCCTGGAGTCCCGGGATCGAGTCCCGCATCAGGCTCCCTGCTCAGCAGGGAGTCTGCTTCTCCCTCTGACCCTCCCCCCCTCATGCTCTCTCTATCTCATTCTCTCTCTCAAATAAATAAATAAAATCTTTAAAAAAAAACAAAACTCAATGTATAGATGAGTGACAAATTAGATACAGTTGAAGAGAAAATTAGTAAACTATAAGATTAGTTAGAGGAATATATACAAAATGAAGCACAAAAGGCAAAAGGTAATAAGAAAATGTAATATAACATGTTTATATATATATATAAAATTAGAAGGTCCAACACATGTCTATTTGGAGATTTGGAATGAGCAGTGCCATGAGCCTTGAGAATAAAATAATTGCTAAAAGTTATATTTATCAATAATAATTGATAAAATAATTGCTGACAATTTTCCTAAGAGACATTTTTATATATATAAAAATTCACAAGAAATCCTAGTCAGGATAAATATAAAGGATATATCATGGTGTCATTGCAGACAAATCCTTAAAACTGCCTGAGAGGAAAAGGTCACTTTTAAAAAAAATTTTATTTTATTTTATTATGTTATGTTAGTCACCATACAGTACATCATTAGTTTTTGATGTAGTTACTTTTTAAAGGCACAACAGATACACTGGTAATTGAGTTATTAAGAACAACAATGGAGTCAGAAGATAGTGGAATATCTTCAATATACTGAAAATGCAAAAACAAAGAACAAACTGCTAACGTAGACTGTCAGTAAAAATATCTTTCAAATATGAAGGTGAAATAAAGATGTTTCCAGACAAAAACAGAGAGAGTTGTTAGCAGTGACTGTCAGTGAAGGAAACATTAAAGAGAGTTCTTTAGGCAGACAAAAAGCAATCCTCAATGGGAGCAAAGGAAGGTATAAATATATGAGTAAATCCAAATGACATGGCTTTTATAAAACAATAATAATACTTGTGGGATACATATATATATGTGTGTGTTATTATCTATCAATCTATCTATCATCTATCTATCATCTATCTATCTATCTATCTATCTAGCTAGCTAGCTAGCTAGCTAGCTATCTCTACATAGGACACAAAAATGTTTAAGTTTGGAAGGGACTAAAAAGATTGTAAGTGTTCTAAGGTCCTTAAATTGCTGAAGAGGAAGTAAATAGTTGCCCAATTACCATGACACTTTGGTAAGTCCAGGATACATGTTGTAATTTCCAAGGTAAACATTAAAAGCATAATAAAAAGTTTAAAACTTTTAAATAAAGAGACTGAGAAAATGGAATGATAAAAAAATGGTCAGTCCAAAAGAAGGCAAGAAAAGAGAAAAAAAGCATGGAGTGAGTGGGACAAATAGAAAGCATATTGTAAGACAATAGATTTAAAGTTAAATATTTTATAATTATATTAAATATAAGTAGACTAAATACTTCAGTTAAAAGACAAAGATTTTCTGGCTTGATTACTAATTGAAGCCAAATTATATTCTGTTTCCAAGGCACAAATTAAAATATGAGAATAAAAAAAGTTTGAAAATAAAGGAGTGGAAAAAATTGTACTTTGCAAACAGTAGCCAAAGGAAAGCTATTAAATCTGTATTAACATCAGACAAACTTGACCTTAAAGCAAATTAAAAAAAAAAAAAAAGAAAGAAAGAAATTATTGGAGACTAAGAGTCACTTCTTACTGATTAGGGATTCAACCCATCAGGAATATAGAATAACTTAAAATTTATATGCATCTAATTATATGGCCTCAAAATATTTGAAGGAAAAAGAGACCAGAAGATGGAGCTATAGGTAAATCTAGTCATTCTGAAATTTTGTAACAGATCTCTCTCAGAATTGATAGATAAAGCAGGCAAAAAATCTGTAAGGCTGTGAAAAATTTCAAAAACATGATTAAAAACCTGACACACCAAGAGACAGCATGATAATATGCCTGGTTTTCAAGTACATATTAAATTACAAAAACTCAGCCTATAGGAGGCCACAAAGCAGGTATCAACACTTTCAAAGGGTTAAAATTACAGAGGATGTAATGTGACCACAGTTCAAAAGCAAAAAGGTCACAGGAAGATCACCATATGTTTAAAAATTAAGAAAAAATATCTAATAACCCTCAGGTCAAAA